TTTTTTTTTTTTTCAGATAATCGTTTCTTGTGAATCTTTGATGACGGAGCTTATTTTCGGGAAGTGTTTTTTGTTCATTTGTTTCTTTTTCGTTTTTCTTTTTTATTCTTGCTATGAGTCTTTTGCTGTCGAGGTATCTTCATTTTTTATCATTTTACCATCGCAGAAAAAACGTCAGAAACGAAAAAAGTGTTATAATCGTATGGCAGTGGTATTTTTATTCGGATACTTGATGGCATAAGGAAAGGAAGGTAAGATTTTGAGTGTTAGATGGACGAACTGGATGTATTTCTCGTTACTGTTTCGCAAATTTTTGGTTCTATTGAAGAATTTCCATCACTGGAAAGAGGTGGGAGTTAGGTGGGACGGACTCTGGGGCGGGTGTTTTTTTTATTTTGATGTTTTGAAGAGTCGAACTTATAAAGGAATCAATAAATACATTTGGTCAGTTTTTTGTTGACCAAATGATTTGAGTATTTTGTTTTAAACGATGTGTGTTGTTGCTTCTTTGTCTTGTTTTAGAAATCTGTTTTGTTTGAAGCGTGTTCTTTTTCCTTTTTCAATTATGTTCTGTTCAGATCTTTTTTTTTATCGTTTGTAATGCTTCTTTGTTTAGAGATTGAGCCGTGGCGTATGTGTGGCTCATATTGTCTACAGGTAATGGTGATATGTCAATCTTTATTTTATTCTCTTCTGTTTTTATTTTTTATTTTTATCTGCTTTTGCTTTGTTAGATGTTTCTGAGATTTACTGTTCAATTTTCTTTATTTTTATATTTTCAGTGCCCCAATTACCGTTTGTTTTTCGTAAAGTTGCCTATGTTCAGACTTAAGTTTTGCTAATGTTGTATTTTTCCATGCCCAATTTTGTACGAAGTGTTTACTTCTTCCTTTTTTTTACTCTCAATTTTTGTTTTGTTGTGTTCTCTGTTCCATTGCTAAATCTGCATGTTCACTTGTTGAAAATTAAAAGATATTTTGTTACATCAATCATTATTTTATTTTATTTTTATTTTTATTTATTTATTTATTTGTTTATACTTTTCCTGTGTACTTGGTCACTGAATTAGTGGTATTTCACGGCGTTGGTTTTTGTACGGCAGAGCATTTTTATTCGTTTTTTTAGCGCAGCTTTGTTTTTTTTTTTTTTTTTAATAGTTGTGAATTTATTGAAGTGGTACAGTATACGGGATAGTGATGCATGAATCGTGTGAATAGAAAACAATTTTTTGTTGAGCATGAGAATTGCGTGGAAATTTAAGTTTCTTTCTGTTTATATGTCCAATAGTTGGAATCAGAATAGGAAATCAGCGACTTATTTTCTTCAAATATGACAGTATTTGAAAAAATTTTGACAAAATTTTTTTGGTGCTAAAGTTTAACCCACTAGATTGCTGAGACGGGACTTCTGGTACTTTTTTTTTTGTTTCTAACAGATTACATATATTGTTGAAGTGTTGATTAAATCATACTGGAATTTATGTTTGGTGTGTCGTAGGTAACAATATCACCCAAAGCAGGGTACAACAAATCATTACTCGGTTTTTTGGAATGCACTAATTGTTATAACTTTCTCGATTGTACAAAAATGATTGAAAACCGTTCAAACAATTACAGGTGACTGGATTACTTTTACTGTGTATAATTCAAATGTACAAAGAGCAGTGAGGGAAGTAAAAGGTTGAAAAAAATTTATTTCATTTGCAAAGCGATGGAAATGGAAGTGCGATGACCATTACATATCTGTTACCAAGTTTTCTTTTCCCCTGTTTCTTTTGCTTATTAAGGCTGTTCTTTTTTTCCTTTCGTTTTTCCACTTTTCTACTATAATTCTAATGATTACTTTCATGGTTCAAAAAAAAAAAATCATTTTATAGTGGTTTTGGTGGTGAGCTTCACTATAATTACAGATCTCTGTAATGTCCTCGAATACTAGGCTAATAGGCAAAAGTCATTATTAGAGAGCCCCACCATTTGGCAATCATTTGAGCTGATCGTTAAATTTTCTCTTTCTCAAAATAACAGTGCCTTGCAAAAATGCTTAGAATGATCAATTATTCGGGTGGATGACTGAACTCGTTCATTTGCATCCAGCGTCATTCGCAATTTGCAAGTTCAAGCCACTTTTTTGCACTTGACGTAGCTGTTTCCATTTATTTTTCACTGAACGTCATCCTGCAGATCTCACAAAATTTATTAAACCAGTCAGAAAAAAATTTTTTTGTACATTTATTGTTGCGACATAGCGTTGTTGCCACCAAAAACAGCATAAATTTTACTTTTTTCTAGTCCCGCCGGTGAAAGCTACTCGACTGAAAAATCACTGCAAAACAATGAGTTGGTTTCATAGAAATAACGATGGCTAAATTGAAAGTTTCCAACTGTACACAAAGGAGGCAGATTTATGTTTATGAGAAATACAACAAGAGGAACAAAAAAAAACATTTTTTTCATTTTTTTTTTTTAAAGCCACCTGGAAAGGTTTAATGGCATCAAAATGAAGGTCCCAAAAAGTCTTATTTAAATAGAATGACTTAAGAAGAGGAACAGTTGGAGCTGCTATATATATATATATATATATATATATATATATATATATACGCTAATTGGGCAAATTGTTGTAATATTGTCTGTACAAGATCGATGTATCCAACTGTGATCACCCAAAAATATCAATGTGTTATTTTTGAGTTATATTATAACTATTATTTGATATTTCTGTTACAAAACAAAGTGAAATTTACATGTTATCTGGAAAAAAAGAAGTCAAAAAAAATTACATTTAGACATGCATTTTAGAGTATTGGGGATAAAATGAAGAGG